GAACATAGGCAACAGCATCAGTATTCTTGTTTATAAGCTAAATGTGATCAACTCGTCATTTAAAACTAGTTTTAGCAAAATAAGTTTTGCTATAACAACATATTTCATTGCGACAGCAAAAAATGTTTTATGCTCAGAAATGACATCAATTGCTCAATTTGTACATATTACAGATGGCTTCTGTTTGCAATAGGAGTCAATATGCCAAAGTAATTTGTGCCAGTTTTGTGTTTGTTCAACCCAGATATTTCAGTAAATGTGTCATGGTGTTCTGCATGGCAACATAACTTACCTGGATGCTGTTCAGGTAGCTTTTAGACATGTCCCTCAAATTGAATGGTGAGGATCAGTTTCACATTCTTTAAGTTTCTTTTCATCACTGATAATACAGTGATGAATCAAATTTCAGTATCAAGATGTGAAAAGCCAGGAAGAACGTACATTTGAAAATTTCCAGCTGTAATTGAATAGGAGGCTGCTACTGAACATAAATTTGTGCTAAATTATTTGATTTGTAAATAATTTTGATGGCTATGTATTGTTTTCAGTCCACTTCGTAATTATTCTTTACTTGTTACATGTCCAGATATAAAATATTTTCAGGGGTGTGTACAGTTTTCAAAGCATTACATGTTTTATTTATCTACATTCGCCAATGACTGATAAAAATAAGGGCACCTACATGTCCTGGTATCAAAGTTTCATCACTTCCACTGATGTAACACTTGTTACAACTCCAACTCTATACGAGTTGATTTGCTACACATTACTAACGCAACACATTATTCATTGTCACCACAGACAGAAAGTTCAGGGAAGATAAAGATCTTTTTTTTTTATTTTATTTTTATTTTATTTTTGCTCTGCTGCAAAAATATGTCACTTTATTATTTATTTGCTTACTTTTTCCCCCCGGTGACATTTAAAGAGTAGATCTGCACCAGATTCCTTGTGGCAGAGAACTGCTGCTCCACTAAAGCCTGCAGGCCTGAATCTTTCAGACCACACACCATGGCATCATAGTAGGTATTTTCGTCTGAAATTGCTGCACATGGGATATCTGAGCTTGTCAAAGTAAACTTGTGTGTTTTAAGTGCATAGTTGAAAGCATACAAGGAAATCTTTAGGGATGCTTGCTGTTGCCAACATATTTTTGTCATAAATATTACTTAAATGAAAAGATGAACCAGAAGATTAGCTGTGTTTTGATGAGACAAACAGACAAAAGAATCGTGAATGCTTTAGCAAAATTACATTTTTAGGGCATATGTTACATTTATATGTTTAGTGAGAATTTTGTTTTCAATCTGGATTTGCTTTGTTCTATTTGTTTCATAACTCATCCTAGAGATTATTAGTTTATCACTGCAATTTTATTGTAGAGTTTGGTCATCCTGAGGAATTATGGCATGTTATATGTTATGTGATGATGCTTGAATACACCTTCAACCACATACTAAAAGTGAACAAAATATTGCTTCTGTTTCTTTTACCAACCTCAGTTTGCTTTGGATTTGTTTTTCAAACTTTTGCAGTATATTTCTCTGCTTCAGACCTCACTTTATGCCTGCATTTTCTCTGGGAATATATCATGTGTAAAAGAAGTATAGGAACAGGAAAGGTCCTCAGGGTGGGGTACGTCGTGAGGAAATGGAAGTGAATGTATATTGATCACATTTTTTGTGCTTTGTGCTGTAAAAGCAAACAAACCATGACCTTAGCATTCTCAAACTCAGTCTTTCCGGAGAGTGTTCTCGTCTGCCGATCTCTGAAGTTTCAGCTTCAATAGGCAGAAATGTGTGTGAGACTTAAAAATATATACATATATATTTTTTCTTTTTGCGAAAACTTGATGCTTATTGAATGTATTGGATGGCCTCAGTAAGTTTCAGAAAAGGAAAAGAAAAGAGTAAAAGTGTGAGGCTGTGATTTCCTGGCTGAATACTGCATGGAAGGTATGGACGCTTTTAGGAGAATTTGAGAGAGTCTTCTGATCTTCTTTTTCCTATTACCCATTTTCATTCCCAGTTTTCGCCCCCTCGTTTTTCAAAAGATGACCAACAGAAAGAGGGGAGGGCAAATCACCTCAGACTGTGCTCTTTAGGATGGCTAATAAAACCATTGCATGCTACAGCATCCAGGTCCACACTTGCTCCGTAAGTGGACAAACCTGCTGATGATTTGCAGCCTTGCCACTCCCTTCTATTACTTGTATGCCTTTTTGTTTAAAGTGAAAGAACTCGACAAAGGTCCTCTGGCTGACATCACTGGGATGGAGATACATCTGTTGAATTTAAGAGGCATGGATAGTTAATTTGACATCCATCATTGTTTCTGTCAAAAGCCAGGACATGTGAACCACAGATGATGCTGCTAATTCCACTCTGGCCTATTGGTCACTCTGTTGCAATGCTTACTCATGCACTAAATATCCTAATTATTCCCTCATTGGGTTTTATTTGTTTACATGATATAGAAATAGCCCCACCTTTCCCTTTTACAGGAGTCAAATGTGACAGAATCGAATCAATAGGTCAATAAGTAAATATGTTGTGAGCGGTGGAGTCATTTGCATAAAAATGAAAGCACTGAAAGAAACATAGCTAAATGTATAAATTATTTAAATGTGTCAATAATTTATTGAATAAATCATGAAATCATTCAATCTTTCAGTCATAAATTATAATTGTAAGTGAAATTATAAATATTTATTTATTTTCTTTAAACATTGTTCCTGAGAAATGTTTTAAATTGTAGACCAGCCTAGAATTTTCTCTAAGGGGAACTAACTAAATTAGTGAAAAATTAAATAATAATTACAAAAAATTAAATACATGTAATATATATATATATATATATATATATATATATAATATATATATATATATATATATATATATATATTCTCTTCTTTTTTTTGCTTGCAGACATCATGAGACAATTATGGATTATTTTGAACAGCTTATAAATTAACAATGTATTTCTTTTATTTTGACATTTATTAATATAGCTATTAATTTAAAATATTGTCAACATTAAATAATTTTTTATTTTTTTACACTTTTACAGACATTAGTTGACTTTTTTTGTATTATCATTTTCTGTGTTGAGTTACTTTTTCCTCCTAATATCTCTGCTCTGTTTCTGCACTCTTCTCAGACCACTCTGGGCCCACCTGTGAAAGCACCTAAATGTTATTAAAATGACTGTTGAATGGGAGCATGGCAGCGGGGGATGCGTGGGCGGGAGCTCTAATATGATTGGCTCAGGGACACTGTAAGCCTGAGTGGCAGCCCTTAATGGGAGCCCTGGAGAGGTAACCCAACAGCTGTGTGTTTGCTGCTAATGAGAGATGGGGGAGGAGTGTAAAGGATCACAGACTGGAAGCACTGTGATAAACTCTCGTTGCAGCAGAACATAGCTGCGGGAAGACAGGAAATCAAGTTTTCTCCGGAGTGCATTGCTTAAGGCTTTCCTTGGTGGCACACCCCACAATGCTCCTGGTCCGTTGCTTTATGCTTAAACAGATATGATCACTGACTTCAGTGTTTACGGGAAGAAAGGAAGAGTTACTGTAGCATGGAATGGATTTTACTCCCCGCTGAGCCATGTTAATATATGGCCCTGGGCAAAGCATTGTTTTTGTTTTCCTCTTTATTCTTATTATTTTACACACTTCTGCAGTTTTAACTCATAATGTCAGACATGTCTGGTATTTCAACCTAATATGTAACTTTACATTTAGCGTATTCCCGATTTGTCATCACTGAGAAGTGTTCATTATAGCGTGCACTGGGTGCCTCCAGAAAATGTTGGAAATCTCTGTATATTAAAAAGGTACCATTAAGCTTTATTTTGAAAGGCCAACATACTTTTTTCATCACTAACTACAATAACGGTATATTTACAGTCATCAAAAGTAAATATTGTCACTTTTATTATTTAGTGCTGCAAACCATGCTTATAATAATCTTAAACATGCAAATTCTACTTTTGCAAATATTGACACTATTTAACAATTAAAATTGTAGAAGCACTGAACATTTCAAGCAACCTTTGAACTGCAGGATATTTCTTTTTAAATAACTGCACAGTGTTTGTTGAAATGTTGATCTTACAGTACAGTATTATTTTTTTTATTATTATTATTTGTTCCGTTTTAATAAATGTCATGTTCTACCTCTGTGTGAATCTACTTGTTTTAATTTCTTGTCACTTTTGTTGCTGTTGCACAGAAATTACCATACTGTGGAACAGTCCAGGAAGCTCCGTTCTGCAGTTTGGCTTTCCTTTGAAAGTCTTAGGTTCAGTTTTGGGTACTGGCTTAATTCAATCAAATTTTACACTTGCAATAATTTTGACATAAATATAAATAACTAGATAACTATAACATATGATGAAGTTTATGATTTGAAGAAAAAATTATGTTTATTTTGAAAGGCTAAATTAATCTTTGGCACCGGGGGTCAGGTTTGACCACACCCCTGACGCCATACTGTAATGCGTATAGCAACACCTCCATTCAATTCCTCTAATTTCCCCACCAGATACTTCCTGTCTTTCTTATCATAAGCGCCTGAGGGTGGCGCCAAATGAATAAACAGTGTCCAAGCAGCTCCCATGTTAGGCCGCTCATTCCTACATGTAATGCATATCAACAAGTAAACTGTCAGCGCGCGGCCTACCTGTTACGCCACGGTGCATTTCCTTGTTGCAGAAAGGAAAATAATAAAGAACTCGCGCAATAATTCTACGACGCACTCATTTAATAAGGTGCATTCCCGCCCCTATTCCGATGTGACCCACTTTGATGAGATATTCTTAAACTGTATGGAATCGCTCGGAATTTTTTTCTTCTTCCTTTTACTCCGGGCACACAGCCGTGGCTCATAATGTGATGTTGAGTGTGAAGTTGCTGTGTGTGCCGTGGTGGATGTGGGAGCCCCACCTCCTCCCACGCTCGGATGAGTAGAGAGAGGCGGCAGAGAGAGACGGGAGGAGAAGAGAGCTGGGGAGCAACTAACATACCCACAGTATCTCATCACTTGCTCTCTGGAAATGCTTCAGATGGGCTCCTCGTAGTAGCTGCAAAAAAAAAAAAAAAAAAAAAAAAACGTTGCAGAAATGCAATTCTTGCCGCTGCCGTTCAGACATCCTGTGCGTCCTTAATAGTGCGTATTGAGCTCCGGAGAAACTTGGACCAAAAGGAATGCGCGTGTTTTGGCAGGGATCGTGTATTTTATTTTCTTCTTCTTTTCCTACATTTATTTTGAGGAATGAAGACGGCCATACGGAGTGAGAATCTTTATCTAGGTTTGTTTTGAGAGAGAGAGAGACAGAAAAAAAAAGACAGCCCGAGATCTCAGACGAACTGCTGCACTTTAACTTCCCCTTTAGAAGGAAGAGCTGTCCGTTCTGCGAGATCCATCAGGCTGGGCGCAGGATCTCCTCAATTTGATGAAGAAAGTTCTGCTTTTCAGCTCGGTGGATTTTTTTTTATTTTTATTTTTAAAGTGATTCCTTGACGGAGGTTTGAGGGTTGGAGACCTGCCTCTGTGGACATACGGGCTGCCGACGAGCTGCCACAAACGCTTACGCACAAGTCTCTGGCTCAGGTATTTACAATATAACAAAATATACGGGTTTTTTTTCTTTTAAGTTTTTTATTTTCCAAATGAAGTTTCCCCCCCCCACCACCCCCGCTTTCGAGCTGCTCTTCACGTTTTTAGTAAATGCCACAAGTTGTCCACCATGCAGTGAAATAAGCTGCAGCTGGTTGGTGTTACAGGTTGATAAGATGCTGTGCTGATGGAGAGAGGCAGCAGTCCAGATATGTCACCCACATTCAGCATCCGCCGCATGATTGATTAGACGATGCATTTCAATTAAGACACATCCGAGGAGATCCAACTTCCAGCCTCCAGTGAGTGATGGCATGAAGTCATTAAGTCTGCGTATCAGCGCACTTGAGCGACATTACGAGTGCATGCGCTTCAGTCCGCAATCCGATGGGCTGATTGCTTTTTTATAATACCATTACGGCTCTGTGAAGCAGAAAATGCGATCCAATTGTATCACCCCTCTCTCCTGTGATTTTCATTTATTTATTTATGTTTTTAGCTCCGACCTAGGCGCAAACACCACACTAATCGCCATCATTAGTGATGGGGGGAGGATGGAGGGGATCTTAATTTGGCGCTCTTTCCCCGTGCAAAGCAGTTTTCTGCGCATATTAATAAAAAGCCGCGTGATAACTAGAGTCGAGTGTAGTTTTCCTACGGAGGGGGGTAGGCATCGCGCTCGTAATTGGGAAGAACAGATCTTTGATCAGCGCATCCTCTCTGCTGAGAGTCAGGGGTGTTGTTCTTTCCTTGCCACTCCACCGACCACCAGGCACATTTTAATAGTCTGTGAGCCACATAGTGATAGCGGTTCAAGTTCCCATATGGACTGGAGGCGAGTCTTCAAAGCCGTTCAAACAGAGAACAGGTCAGATCAAAACAGGACAGGAACCCACTTTCACCCCTGACTACCTCAGATAATCTATCTATCTATCTATCTATCTATCTATCTATCTATCTATCTATCTATCTATCTATCTATCTATCTATCTATCTATCTATCTATCTATCTATCTATCTATCTATCTATCTATCGATCTATCGATCTATCATCTATCTATCCAGTTTTTTTCAGGTGCCATGCTTGTCAATATTTGGTCTCTTAGGTATTCTTTAGTGCTCGTTACAGATTTTAGTGACCCAAATCATAAAGGGTCACTAAAGGGTGTGTTAAAAACATAGTTATGACGGAAAATAATTTGAGTTGTAAGAAATGTGCATTTGTTGCAGTGATGTCATTGCAAAATTCTACAATAATTTACCAATAATATGTTAAGTTCTTGTCAAACCCAGGACCTTCTTGGTGCAAAGATACAGAGCTAACAAGAGCACAACAGTAAAACGAACATTAAAACACCCTAACATGCTTAAAAAGACCTTTATTGACAAGCAATTGCATTTGGACAGCAAATAGACTACAATTTTAAAACTCCTAATAGAGCACAGCTTGTCTGTAATGACTTTGCCCAAACCTTTGATCAAAACGTGACTGCTGAAGACACCAGCTTGAGCTAACCGCTAAGCAAAGAAAAAGGCTAATATTATAAGTGAAGGAATTCCTTCTCTTACCTGAGGGCATGTTTTAAATCTTGGGGGAAAGCCAGTGAACACAGAAAAAGAATTTGAATATGCATAGAGAGAACACACATACTTTCTGGGGATATTAAAGTTAATATTCAGTATTTACTTTTGTACTTTATTGTCTGTTCATATTGACTTTATGACCAAATGCTTGGTGAAAGCATGAATGTTGGACTTAGCTAGCACTGAGTTGAGCTAGCGACAAGAAAAGGCTGTCTGTCTGTCTGTCTGTCTGTCTGTCTGTCTGTCTGTCTGTCTGTCTGTCTGTCTGTCTGTCTGTCTGTCTGTCTGTCTGTCTGTCTGTCTGTCTGTCTGTCTGTCTGTCTGTCTGTCTGTCTGTCTGTCTGTCTGTCTGTCTGTCTGTCTGTCTATCTATCTATCTATCTATCTATCTATCTATCTACTATCTATCTATCTATCTATCTATCTATCTATCTATCTATCTATCTATCTATCTATCTATCTATCTATCTATCTATCTATCTATCTATCTATCTATCTATCTATCTATCTATCTATCTTTCTTCTCATCAGCCCATCTTTAGCAGCTATACAATACAAATTTGATTTAATCAGGAAAAAGAGCCCATATTTAATTGGACAGCTTTACAAGCAACCAAGCCGGCGACTATCCATTGTTTTGAGGGGCTCTGATGAATTTGGAATCCTATGCAGTGGCTTAGTTTGCTTCTGCCTCAGTCCAACTGTGTTCTGATCTGGTCTGTGTAAGGAAGCAGGAATATGAATACCATGAACTGAATATGAATACCATGAACTGACATTATGCACATTCTTCTCTTTACAGAATCATGTAATGTCTGATTGCAGCCTCTTTGATCTCAATATAGTTAATAGAATTATTTTGCATTTGATTGCAGCGACCCTCCTTCAGTGCTTTTTTGTGTGGCTCAGATTACATCTAACTGAACGAAATGGCAATGCACCTAGCACATATTCTCCAACCAAAGGCCATCACTTTCTCATTACTACAGGGCTGAGGGGGAGAAGGGGAGGTTCTGCTCTCAGTCCAAATGTGCAGCCATAACATTTTGCAGTAAATTCTATTGGACGGATCAGCTGTTTAAGGGGGACCCATAGCTTCTGATACTACCCATCATAAATCATGCAGGTGGGAGGCTAATGGATTTTACCTGTTATACTAGCTAAAGGCGCAGAGTCAGCCGATACATCAAACCACATCAGTGGAGAAAATCATTAAATCACCCGTTATCTCTCCATGCTGGCTAAGCAGCGATGAGCACATCCTACAAGGAGAATTCACAGCCTTGATTTGTTGCATGTAACAGGTGAAGACGCAGGTTGAGCCAGGGTTTGCTGTGGGATCAGAATCACCTCTTGCTGTTGTTGCAAAACAGGGCAAGGCAATGAGATCAAAGTAATCTATTTATTAAAGGCTGCCTTTTATTATTTTCCTTCACGCATGCTACATCATCTACGCTGATGCCTCAGTTCATTCTGCACCGGAGTCCTTTTTTTTTTTTTGTTGTTGTTGTTGTTGTTATTCCTGCTGGACCCGAGGAACCGACTTAAAGACCAAATGTCACCCAGTCAGTCGCTGAGTTGACTCAGGATGCACAGAGTCGGTCTCTATGGCAACCAGAGCAGACATGCGCAGCAACACGATTACATTATTCATCCATGTTAACTATCTCCATTTTGTATATTTAGTAGTATAACACACATTTAATAAGTCACTAACAGTCTTTTTGCTTTTCAATCCAGAAGTGCTTTAGATCTTCGACAACCCTTTAAAACAATGCAAAACATTTAACTTCACAGCCTAAGACTTTATGCCACTTAAAAAAAATAAAATGATTGGAATTGCACTTGACTGATGATGTTACTGATTTTCAAATGCACTACCTGATGAACTACATGAAGGCCCTCACTTTGTCCCTCTGTGAATTTGTTGGAACTCCATTAGGTTACATTTGAATGTAATAATCAGAGCCAATAATAGCAAAATGGCATTTCTTTTTCTTTCTTTTTTTTTTCTCATGGTGAGATGATTAGCTTTGCCTGGAAAACATAATTTACAAACACTTTTCGACAGCTGCCTGTAGTGAAAAGGTTTTTGTAGCAACACGCATGTGAAGGTGTTTTAGGAAGGTCGACCCAGAGTCAGGATGAATGAACAGGAACTGATCTTCAGCAGCGCTAAAAATATTTCTGTTTTCCTGTGGCTAGTGTAGGAGTAAGTTTAGCATGTAGTAAGTTTTTCACAGGTCATTGGCATGGCGGAGTTCGGCAACCTGAGCTTCATTTGTGCAGGGAAGCGGGCTCTCCTGAGAACAGCCACACACTTAGAGGCGGCGCAGGGACGTTGACTCAGAAGTTTGACGTGTTCTCGTGAACATTTAGGGTCAGTCGGGTGGCATAAGGCGTGCAGATTTCATCTGGAGCAGGGTAAGTCTTTCACCTCCTTTACAGTGACCAAAAAATGCAACATTAGTACTGGGTGAGCCTTTATGGAGAAGGAGTAGTTGCTGATTATGCTGTCTTTGAAAATCAGTGACAGAAACTGGTATATCTGCAAGCTAAGGAAGAGCTCAGCAGAAGAGACAATAAAATAGGATACAGAAAAGTGCATCATTGTTTGCGCAGTTTCTCTTTAAATTACTACAACTTTCTCAAAATCTTCTCTCCCTTTTTTATTTAACCAGTGTGATCTTTAGTCACACACACACACAAAAAGATTTTGCACAAAGCTCTTTCTCTGCTGGAGAATTGAGGATTAGCTGTGGATTAAAGCATTTTAAGTATTTTCTGAACTTGGTGTTTGCCTCTATGTAAAATTAATGATGACTCAAAATATTTATTTACATTTTAAATTGTTTTTTCACAAGTAGCTTGAAACTCTGCGACTAACACTAACTAGTGACCACTCACAGCTGGAGGGCTATTAAGAAATATGTTTTTGCGTCTTCTTACATTATAGTTTCTAAAGAGCTATCAAAATCAACCGAAAAAGAGAAAAGCTTAATAAAAACGTGGCATTCTAAATCCTAAAGTATTACCAGACTAAAGAACAAATATAGATGAAGCGGCTTCTAAATGCAGTTGCTTCTTTAACAGACAAGCTGGCCATAGCTTGCCATAATTAATTCTAAACTACTTTTATCTTAGCACGTAATGCCTGGTGCTTCTTTACTTTCTCCGCCGTGACTGTCTGAGATTGTTCAACGAAAATATTTTCACACAGCAATCTTTGTCTTTCTTGTAAGCATTTAACAGATGTCTTTCATCCAATTCACAGGCATAGCACAGTCTCATCACTCCTGCACTTTCCCTGACATGTCTTTAGAATTTCTTTGAAACGTCGAAACAATATGACAGTACTTTTTCAAGGTTTCAAAATCATAACATCTTCAACCTTGATATTAGTAACTGGC